AAGATGTGCTCATTTGCTTGTATCCCTTCCAACATATTCCAGAAAGATTATAATTCATATAAATTGATTTTTGATTTAATTAATCATTGGGGGGAAGGCTATATCTTACTTTCAAATGTCCACTAAATACAGATTGATGTAATTTATGACATTTGTGTAAATCACACAATCAATGTTTTTAGATAATTTGTGACAGTCTTCATCATTTGTATAATTACAGAAAATACCTAAAAATGTCATTTGCATAATTGACCTAGAGACATCAGTTGCACAGTTACATAAATTGACACATATCAAGTAAATTATGGTAATTCTCCAGATGGACTTATCTGTAAATATGTGGGTGCTTCATAAATGAAAATTTGATCCATTGTATCTCATATTTGTTAAACTGATTTCACAGAAATATATTTCAAATAAGTTTAGTGCCATCTATGGATTATCATCAAAGTCACTGTTTTAATGTCTTAGTGGAATTGATTTAATCAAGATTCTCAGCCTGAAAGAATTCCAAACAGATTCACAGAGGTGAAATCCCAAAATAATCTTGAGAGTTTTTGTTTTATATAGCTACTTTAAGTTTAATGTAGGAAAAAGTAAAACATAATATTGAAGACATAACGTTAACTGGTGGGCTTCCTTTTCTTTGAAAAAGATATCTGATTTATTCAAATATGTATCTTCTAGTTTTCAAACTCACAAATAGGAAAGAGGAAGAAAATCAGAAGCCAATAGCTGGTTTGCAATTATTCCAAATTTCTGATATAGTTTTGAGAAGTAGATATTGATTTTTCAGAAAGAGAAAAATTATATTGTGCTTCACAAAGAGAAGAAACTTGGGGGCAGAGTCAAAAGAGGAATCAGTCTAGAGTCTCTGTGCATAGTCTTAGTAAAGAACATTGTTTATTTAATGTTCTTATAATCTAAATTAAATCCTTAGTAAGACCACATCTGGAATACTGCATCCAGTTTTGGTCACTACATTACAAAAAAGATTTTGAGACTTTGGAAAAAGTGTAGAGAAGAGCAAGTAAGATGATTAAGGACCTGGAGACGAAAACATATGAAGAATGGTTGCAGGAATTGGGTATGTCTAGTCTAGTGAAAAGAAGGACTAGGGGTGACATGAAAACAGTGTTCCAATATCCAATATCTCAGGGGCTGCCCCAAAGAAGAAGGAGTCAAGCTATTCTCCAAAACACCTGAGGGCAGGACAAGAAGCAATGGGTGAAAACTAATCAAAGAAAGAAGCAACCTAGAACTAAGGAGACATTTCCTGACAGTTAGAACAATTAATCAGTGGAACTGCTTGCCTCCAGAAGTTGTGGATGCTTTATCACTGGAGGTTTTTAAGAAAACACTGATTTTTAAAGATACACATATTTAATTATATTTTAGTAAAATATGCATATTTTATATTAACATTCTTGATAGAGCAATAAAAGAGTACAAATTAGAAAAAATAAAAGGAAAAATTGCAAAGAATCCCTCTCCTTTATGAAAATGACTTCCCATCCTCATCACAAGTATAAAGAATTTCATAATCTCTTCACCCCTCTTGTTAACAAATACCGGTATAAAACTTTTTATTCCATAACCCCTCTCTTAGTAATAAACAATCAAATAACTAACCTCTTCTTCTCCAAACAGAGCTTTAAAATATTAAAATTAATTAACAAATATAAAGCAACTTTCCCAAAGATATGCATATTAATAATATTTTATAAAACTTGTATGCCCCCCAATTTTCAATGACTCTGGGTGACTTACACTATGGAAATTACAATAAAAATTAATAAATGGTAAAGGTAAAATATGGCAATAACGATTATTCTTTTGCTATTGTTAGAGCACAAAGTTCTTTTTATTTTGAGATTTTTCATACTCTTAATAATAGCAAATAATAATCTTTAGGAAATGGAAAAATGCTAGATTAATTCCAGATGTAAAGAATTGGATTTCAGAGATGCGTGATTTAGCAATTTTTGAGAAAATTGTACATTCTGAGAAAGCAATAAAAGACACCTTGATTGTATTGGAAATTGATTGTTTTCTCCATGTTTTAACATAAGGTAAATATAGATTATCCTGAGCTGAGCTCAATTTCTGGTTTCTCCGTGTATATAGAATATGTACATTCTCCATGTATATAGAATTTTCTGAGCAATACTAAGTTGAACAATGTCTCCATTGGGTCGGCTTGCTTCTTTGCAGCCTTGTCTTGAAATAGTTTCTTGTTAAGACCACAGTTTGATTTAGTACAGTAATTTAAAGATGACAGGATTGAAAGCTAAAATCATCTGGCCTGCATATCTGTTGACATTTTCAGGGTTAGATGTTATATTACTAAATATTATAAAATAATGCATTGGTCAAATATTGTCATAAAGATAACTGGACTGTAATAAGAGGTGGTTTAATTACTAAGAAGGTGAAGGCATTAGAACTGTTAGGATTTAATATGTTAAATTAATAGAGTATTCATTTAGTTGTAATTGATTACTCAGAAGAGGCAAATTTGCATTGACCAAGGTCATTTTAATCCCGAAGTCTCAACGTAATAACCAACTTCATTTGTTGAGTGAGGTCATTCTGATTCTGATGTGCTGGAAATTGAGGAGGAACTGTTAAATATGAACTTATTTTCTGAATGTCATCTTTATTAAACTATGAAGTAGGTTTTCTCTACTTTAGTGATGTCATGATCCCACAAAACAATAAAAAGTGACTCCTCATGAGTCAGTGGAGCATTCCCCTGGACTTATAGCCATAGGAGAAATAATCATATCTCTTCTTCAGAGTTATGTGACTTGTGTCATGTTGTCTTTAGTTAGGCTTATTTTTATCAGCTCTGTCATTAAGACGAGTCATATTTACCTTTTCCATGCATTTCAAAAGTTTGAAATAGAAAATAATAGATAAAAACACTAAATCCCACGCACACATATGCACTCTTGGAGTGCTCCAGAGATAGTAGATACACTGTCACATGTCATATAAGAAATCACTGTTCAATCAAGCCAGTTCTGAGAGATGGCATCATTCAAGACGCCCTCTTGACTTTGCTTTCCTCTTTACTTATGTGAGACTGTTATGTACCTGGCAAGACAAAATAGGGAAGAATGTTGATAGCGTTACCATCTTGCCTCCCCGGGCTGGACCAATTTTTTTTAAAAAATAGTGGCTACCCCCTTTGTTCAAGTTACTTATGGCCCCTTGAGGCATCATGGACCACAGATTGAGGATCCAAATCTAAAGGAGCTTCAAACTTTCTCAGTTTTGCAAAATCAGATAGGATTAAGCAGAGCTGATAGAATTGGTGGCAGGATGTCTTGTTGGTAAGCTGACAAACCTAAAGTGATAGCAATCATAACAACAGTATTAAATATAGTTCAGCAGACTTCAGAGGAAGTTCTACTGACTGAACAGCTCAAAACTAACATATGAGAGAGAGAGGATGGAGAGACGCTGAAAAGAAAATGAAAAGAGCAGTAGGCATGAACAACAATCAAAGTTTTATCAACAATGAGAAAGAGTATAGATGAAATTATGGTTCTACAAAATGAAATATGAATAGGTCATAAGCTTTTGAGTGCTTGTTGGTGGAGAAGGAGAGAGGAAAAAGAGAATTTTTATGTCTTCTGCAGAGATTTGAAGGTCATGGAAGAAACAAATGGTGAAAGAGGCTTGCAAATATTCTTGGAAAACTTCAAGAGACTTCCAGATTTTCCACCATCTAAAAGGTGGAATCATGTTTAGAGATTCCAGATGTGGGAAAACTAAAGTGGGAACTTCCAGAAGATTACAACCAGATTTGGAAGCCATGCCTTCAGCAAACAGCTTCTAGTTACAATGATAATGGATTTTTTTTATATATAAACATTAACAGTTTTCTTCTTATGGATATTATGTCATATTTTCCCCAACTGAGAAAAGCATTGAAGACATAAAAAATGTCTTCAAGTGTCAGCCCGTTTTAAGCTCCCAATTGAGATGAATTAATCTGAAATGTGCCTAGTTTTAATTCTTGAAGGCCTTTAGAACACTTTGTGGATAGTTTTCACACTATGTTCTTCTCAATACATCAGCTGAATATTTTGCTTCAAGGCTATAATGAGGACATTTCAACGCACATTAAGAATGACTGCATTCATTGTGAAAGATTATTTGAGATCAAACTCTTATTTATTTATTTATTTTTCTTCCACTGTCATTGTTGAGGGAAGAATTATCCTAAGTAACACAATTGAGGCCCATCAACATGAAGGATCAAAGAATCTCCTTGCTAGAAATCTTAAATTTAGTTATCCAATCCTATCCAAACATCTGGTAACCATATTTTCTTAAAGGGGTTATTTAGTGCAAAAAGTTGGGGCAAGTATTTTTTGGGCAAGGAGTTTGGCATGAGGCCCATTTTGGATCAGGTGTTTATTCCAAATAAACTCCTTCTTTCCTGAAGAAAGGGCAACTTGAATATCTCTTTAAAACAGCATAGGATGTAATTTGACTCAAAAAATACACTTTACGTGTGCCTAGGTCAATTTCTGGCAAATCCTTGTTATCTGATGCAGTGAGGTTTACTTTAACTAGCCTGGCATAACATTCGGAGGCCTTTACAGACGTTAGTCTGAAACTAACAGTTTGAAGGAGACCCTTCCTGTTCCAATGTTAATGTTATTTTTAAACCATGAGTATTTTTGCACTTGATTTTACATAAATGCGTCCTTCAATTTGAAAGATAAGGCTTGCTCGGTTTTATGCAAAAAACTTCACAACTGATCAGTAATTTAGTAAAGTACCTTCAGAGTCTAGCCTGTCACTAGGTTTGTTCTATTTTATTGTTTTGGGAATAATGAGGATGCTGTATTTTGAAAATATAAATTATGCAAACAGTTATAAATATTCTGTAATGTAAATAATTTGTTAATATTCTACAAAAGAAAAAAATCACAAAAAATGAAACTTGTTATCATTTCTCAACCCATTTTTTTTTCCTTTAGGATATCAATTTTTTTCGACATTTTGATGATAATCCCCAGTAACAAGACCATGTTATACCCTATGAAATATCTCTTCTGGAGTCAGGTAAGTCTGGAGATTATATCTGGAGGTCAGGATTGAATATATTCCTAATTTATTAACATTATTTGTAAAGGTAATATGTTTATTTGTTTTATTATGTTTGCAAATCTCCCAGTTAATAGGACTTCTGGCAGTTAAAGGAAATTAAAGGGAAAAAAATAAGCTATAACGAAGCTATCAGGAATTTTTACAGAGAGGGGGATGAGCAAAGTGGCATTGAAAAGATGATAGCCATAACTTCGATAATAAACCCAACTTTTATTTTTAAGAGGTAAATATTAGGTAAACATTATTACTGGCTTTGATCATATAGCCAGAACTGCCATCTTGATTTTTTATATTCCTAGCAGCCACCCGCATGGCCTTTCTGACTGAATAAACTAAAAAAAAGAAACCCAAGCACTGGTTTTCATTTTGTAGAACTTACCATTGGGCCTGCGTTAACTAAGTCACAATGAAATATACCGAATAGAAAAGCAGTGAACAAGTCAATAATTTTATCTCCACACAAAGCATCTTGCTATTCTGAAATGTACTGTGAAAAAGAATGGCTACAGAAAAGAAAAGCAACGAAGAACCATAAAATGTCCCAAAGGGATCTTCATCAATCATTGATTTAGTGGGCCAATGAAATGTTTGATCCCCAACTGGATAAAATATACAGTGAAGCACAAAAAGTCATTGATCATTGTGAACTTAAAAGACATTTATGATTCTAGAGAAGGAATATTTTGTTTCAATAGAGAAAAGAAGAAGCACCTTGCTAAGTTTGCTAGGCATGGATGAAACAAGCTAAGGATGGCATCAAACTAAAAGAAATACAGATCATTCTCAATTTACAACCATTTGTATGGGTGACTATTCAGTGAATGCCTTGATACTCTGTAGGACAGGGGTGTCAAACTCAATTTCATTGAGGGCTGCATCATAATTTGACCTTGGGGGGGGAGGCGTGGCTGGGGGAGCGTGGCCAGCTCAACATCACTCATGTCGGCGGTGCCTGTGGCGGCCTGAGCACTCTCCTGAGCTCCCTTTTCAGCTGTGACGGCCTCCTGCAACCCTCTGCCAAGCTCTGTTTTCAGCTGCAATGGCCTCCTGCAGCCCTCCCAAGTTTCGTTTTTGCTGGCAGAGGCACCATGGGCCGGTCCTTCGCTGTTTCCAGGGCAGCCCTGCAAGCCAGATCTAAGCACCCCATGGGCCAGATCTGCCCCCCCCCCCAGACCTTGAGTTTCACACCCCTGCTGCAGGGGATTACACGTCAGTAAAAACCTTCTTCTGTCCATTGTCTTCCATGAAAGTAACATTTGATATGATAAGAAAAAACCTAAAAATAAATTGAGAACTTTGGGAATGAGATGTTTAGGAAATGTGTATGGCTGCGTTTCTCAACCTCAGGAATTTTAAGATGTGTGGATTTCCAATTCCCAGAATTCCCTAGCCAGCCACACATCTTAAAGTTTCTGGATTGTGAAACACTGATCAATGGTAAAAGAAGGAAACATAACATCAAAATAAACAGGTCCTGAATGAAAGAAGCCTTGAATGAAGGAGGTCTGCATTCAGCACTGGCCAGAAGAAAAAACATTGTGGTGACTCGGTAAGATAGAAAGAATGAATATCACTTAACAGAATAAATATATGGAGGGAAGATGAATGGTAGAAAAGAAGGGGAAGATTAAGAACATTGTGGTTGATGAAGTTGATGGGTTAAAGAGAAGGAGAAGTTCAAGGAAGAAAAGGCAGTGATTGGAATGGTGTATAGATGGTTTACAAGGATTGAGAGAGATGGGAAGAACAATCAATGGAGTTGGTTATAAACTACGGTAGACTTCCTTTCCTTCTCTCCTGTCTCCTGCCTTTAATTTCATTGGCTTTCTACTTCTTATTCTTTTTGTGCATGTTGCATAATGCTTCTTATGCCACTAGTTAATAATTGCACAATAGGATGGTGTCAGCCCAGCATGGCAGTCCAGGTCAGGAAACAGACACCACAAGACCTGCTGGAACTCTTCTTTATTCTTTAATAAATTTCAGTTATATTCAAGCAATCTTGAAAGTCTGATGGAGAGGCCCTTCTCTCCTCTTAAATCAAGTAGAACCAAGGTGAGCAATCTTGAATTTCCATCTCACTTCCTCCTTCCTTTATGGGCTGAGCTAATGCTCACATAATGACAGGAAGCTTCCATTCTCTACAGTTTCAGATTTCTGTAGGACAGATTTATAAAGTTTATCATAGGTTCCATCAAGGCAGAATCAGCAACAATGTGTAGATGGGTAGTTTGTCTTGTAAGGGAAGATTTTAATAGAATAAAGTCAATAAACCTGCATTATCAACTTGAGCATCGAAAAAAGTTGCCTAGAAACCTAAGAATTGGTGGCAAGGCTTGATGGATTGACCAGCTGTGTCTGGACAGAACTGTTTACTAAGTTTGTCTGGAGTGGGACTGCAAGGAAGTCCCAGAGAGACCTAGAAGCTGAAAATTACATGAGAAGTAGGGAATGTCCACTCTCTTATAGACTATTGTTAGGGTAAATGGAAAGTGGGGGTCAGGGGGTGGAAGAGTTGCTTAAAAATCTCAAAAAAGTAAGATCAGATCTGGTTAGTATTTGCATGGCACACCACCGGGAAACCAGCAGACTGTAGAACAGGGCTGTCAAACTTGATTTTATTGAGGGCCGCATCAGGGTTGTTTGACTTTGGGGGGCCAGGGTGGCATGGTCAACTTGACATCACTCATGTCAGGGGGCCGCCTGTGGTGGCCCGAGCGCTCTGCCAACTCCCAAGTTCCGTTTTCAGCCAGGGCAGTCTCCTGCATCCCTCTGCCAGCAAAAACGGAGCTCGGGGACCTTGTGAGCTCCATTTTTGGCCAGGATGGCCTCCTGCGCCTCTCTGCCAGCAAACACAGAGCTCGGGACATGCACAGCCCTCCCGGGCTCCGGTTTTGCTGACAGGCACCGCGGGCTGGTCCTTCACTGTTTTCAGGGCACCCCCCCACAGGCCAAATCTAAGCACCCCGCGGACCGGATCTGGCCCACGGACCTTGAGTTTGATACCCCTGCTGTAGAACATTCTGGAAAGTATAGCTCAAAGTCCCAGAAGAAGCAAGGAGTAAGCATTTGGGTGTGTTGCCAAAAAAAACCCCTCTCTGGCTTTGTTTCTGAAGTTACCTGTAGAGGACTTTAGCTTTCTTCACTTCCCTGTGTGCCTGTTGCAAGAGTCAACCCAACTAAGATCGTCTGAATGTTAATCTCACCTTGCCCTTGCTTCTTGCTTTACTGTTCCAAACAGGATAAGCGAACAGCGGGAGTCTTACAGTTTTGGACAAAGGTACAAATTGGTTTCTAAAGCAACTGCGTGGAACATGAGCAACATCAAATATTTCTGTGACGGTCTCTTAAAGTCATACTTAAAGCATAAAAATTAACATTTAAAATGTTAGGGAAAGCCGTGAACGAAAACAGATGCATCTTTGCATCCTTTTAAGAAAACAAAAATCTGTATTTTTTTAAAAAAGGTCCCGTAGAGCAGAAGACTGCATTACAAACACAAAAAAGGAAAACGGACTGCAAAGATGGTTTAAATCTGTGGCGCTCAAACCATTCATGGGGAATTCATTTGAAATTAAATGTATCAAAGCCCAATGGATGTACAAAATAAACAGCCCTGGTATATCTTGCATTTGATCTGTTTGTTGCTATGAAAATATTGACAAAAGGCGAACGAATGGGCTTAGTTTAGCTTTTATTATACTTGGCTAGCTCTGAGACCTTTTTTTTTTCCAAAAGGCAACGCTCTTCCCAAATGTAAAGTTAACACATTCACTGCAGGTCTGAAGCCAAAGGCCAAATGCAGTCCCGCAAAGGACATTCTAGAAGTCAGATGTAGAAATTGCCACTCTGCAAAAAATACGCCCATTGGAATTTCCTGAAGTCATGTGTTTCTTTGCCCCTAAACATTATCTGAGTTTCTTGTTGTTCTGTATGGGAAATCTTCAATGGTCACCTTATATTTTCCCTTCAGCCTGTAGAAGTAATGTGTCTGTGGCAGATCAGAGGGTACCATCTCAGCCCTACTGATACACACTTCCATCGTTGCCTTGGCAGAGAAATGCATAACCATTTTATTTTTATTTTTTTATTTTGGCTCAGCCAAGAAGCCACTATCCTTAGTGCAGTCTTTCTTAACCTCAGTAGCTGGAGGATGGGTGGACTTCAACTCCCAGAATTCCCTAGCCAGCCTTGCTAGCTGGAGAATTCTTGGAGTTGAAGTCCATTGATCATAGAGCTGTGGTGGCCCAGTGGTTAGAATGCAGTACTGCAGGCTACTTCTGCTGACTGCCGGCTGCCAACAGTTTGGTAGTTCGAATCTCACCAGGCTCAAGGTTGACTCAGCCTTCCATCCTTCTGAGGTCATTTGGTGGGCAAGCAGTCCTTGGAACTATCTCCCATCTTTGTCCTGATGGACCCAAGCAAAGGATTGAACATGCAGTGCCTGCAACGCAGCGGGAAGAAGGAATGGGCTTGCATGGTGGCTCATGGCAGTAGAAATGTAGGAATTTCCTCAGCTTTGTAGAGGAAAAGCTGTGTCAGCTTCTTCATGGATACCAATAAAGGAGGTGAAAATTACTGGAAGGCAGAAACCTGAAAGGGCACAGAACGTTGCCCTGAAAAAAATCTATGGATGGATGGAGTAATGAACTGATGGAGCGATAAAGCAATGGACGAACAACAATAAACTGAAGTCCGTCATGACTCATAGATCTGACACTCCAGCAAGCACATCCAGCTCCAGTCCTTCAAGCGTCATTTTTGCAAAGAACATCCTGGTAGTTTTGCAAAACAAAACAAAAATTCACCCTCTGCTCAACTCCCAGAAAGCAGCCTTCGAGTAGGACTGTGGTTGGATGCAGAGCTCAGGTTCTAAAGGCTCCAAAAAGCCTGTGAAAAAAAATATTCCTCTTCCACCTGACCCCGAGAAATACCTGAGATGCCTTGAAAGTGAACACCAAAAATAAGACTTGTTTTATTCATATTTCTCTTAGAGGCTAGGGATTATTGGAGGTGGTGGAGGCAAAGAGTGTAATCCAGCCTTGGTTGTATTTTAGATGCTCTAAACATTTTGGAAAGGTATCCTGGAAAATTAGAACTGGGCAGTTTATATAAACAGGAAGGAAGGAAGGAATCAAAGAAGAAAGGAATCACCTAACCAATCTATTTTTCCATTGGGGAGGAGAGTTCTTTTAAGATAGATTAATTTTGAAAGCATCTCCCTGTTTCTTTTTCAAAGTAATGTGCCATATGTAAATTCCAACTTCATTATGTCAACTAATTTTTGTACAGTCCTGTACAAAATATATCACTTCCTTAAAAGAAACACTGTAAGGAACTTCTATTTTTTGGCACTGATGCAATATCATTTAGTTCTTATTTTCTTAACACTTGATTTTGAATGTAAATGAGCAAAAGGTAGAAAACATCTTTATGAATGCTGCTTTTTTATTAATTTTCTTTTGTATATTAAATAAATTGGTAAAACATAAATCATGCAAAACGTAAGATAAAATAGAAATGTTCTCAAGGAATGGTAGATGATATACAAAGATACACTTCTCATTGTCCTCATACGCGCAAAATATCAGCACACTATTATCAACAAAGCACAAATTGATGATTATTTATTTATTTATTTATCAAATTTTTACACCTCCCTTCTCACCTATGTGACTCTGGGCAGTTCATAAATAAAAACCATACAGTCGTATAAAAAGAAATAGAGTTTTTTTTTAAAAAAGCAGAATGAAAACAAAGTTTTAAAAAACAGAAGGAGCACTCGCCTCAGGATTGCTTGCCAGGAATAAGGACCTTTTTATTCTTAAGAAAAAACAAAGGTAGTCCATATAATTTCCCAAACTGTAATCCTCCAAAAAGTGACCTACCATCTCAGGTACTGCGCCAATGCTTTATTTGAACATCTTATGCAATACCTGGGAACTTCGATAACTCTCCTTGGAACATCTAAATTTAGTATTTTGAACTTTTATGCACCATGTAGTGCTCAGACAGAGTTTTGAAAGCCAGTTTGGTCTAGTGGTTAAGAGACCAGGTAGAAAGCAGAAAAACGTGAGTTTAAGTCCCACCTTAGCCATAAAAGCCAGTTGGGTGAATTTGGGCAAGTCATTGTCTCTCAACCCAACCCATCTCAAAAAGGTTATTGTTGTGGGAAAATAGGAGGAAGAAGGTGTTTTGGATAGGGCCACCATCTTGACTTATTTGTAAAAATAATAATGGTGGGTGGGATACAAATTAAGTATGAATATGAATGAATGCCTGAATACAAATAAATGAATAGTGCCCCTTCAAAGGTGTTCCATGAAGCCATGTTGCAGTGAACCTTGGATTTCAAGAATGGAGCAGGCACATTGCTTTAATTTGTCTCATTTCTGAGATCTCTCCTGACAGTGCCAGCTTCTCCAGCTTCTAGTCCTCAGGTAGATAAATAGCTGCTTGAGAGTGATGGTGGCTACTGGAACTATGAATTTCAGGAGAATATCTTCCTTCCTATGGAACCAAGTGCCTCGCCAAGGCAGAGCCAATTCTACCTGGAATTTTACAACAAGTTTGGTGCACAATTGTGCTGGGTCATTGGTACCTCAGATCTTGGGATTCAGAAATAGTAGATCAGGCGATAAAAAGGTAAAGTTTAGTGAACTACTCATGACCTATCTGTGAGCTTTTAGGAGTCGAAGATGATGACACTCAAAGTGAAAGCCAGACTGTTACTTAACTCTTTGGGGACATTGGCTAGTTTAAGCAGTGAACGTTCTCATCCAGCCAAGGTACAACCAGCTTCACTCCTGCAAACCTTGGGACCTGCTCTTAGTGACCCTGAGAAGGAGAATAGGAGCTTGCAAAATACTATGCAGAAAGAGAGAAAATGTGTGTGTGTGAGAGAGAGAGAGAGAGAGAGACACACACACATACACACACACACACACACACACACACACACGGAGGGAGGGAGGGAGGGAGGGAGGGAGAGAATTAAGCAATCTTTCCTCAAAAGAATCTTGATCTTAATTTAATGCTTCCACTTGACTCGACTTACGTTTTGTAACTTCACTCTGTTCCCGATGGTATTTTTGGATTTGGGGTTTTCTTAACAAATGCAAAATAAAATGGTAATCAACACAGCATT